CTCCCTGCCCTCTTGATCTAGCTCTGATTCAATGTAATTTTAGAATCCTGGGTCTGAGAAGACACTGAGAGGAGGCAGATGTGTGCAGTAGTTAGGCGATAAGGTGGTAGTCAGATAGACTTTGAATTTGATGCCCTGCTCTGCCCTATACCTGTTAGCACTGTGACCTCAGGCAAGTGTCTCAGCATTTTCAAGCCACATCAATGTCTTTATTTAAAAAGTTAAATAATAAAATGAGCTTTTTGCAGGCTATTATGGGTGAGTAGGTGAGATAATGTACAAAAAATTATCAAGGTGCTTGTTATAGAATGTCAGCAGTGGTTATATTATGCACATATCAAATTTTTATTGTTGAAAAATGTTAATTTACTCAAACATAAACGAACAATAAAAGGAACTTCCATATACGTTGACCAGTGGTCAGCAAACTCATTAGTCAACAGAGCCAAATATCAACAGTACAACGATTGAAATTTCTTTTGAGAGCCAAATTTTTTAAACTTAAACTATATACGTAGGTACATTGTTATTAACTTAATTAGGGTACTCCTAAGGCTTAGGAAGAGCCACACTCAAGGACCCAAAGAGCCGCATGTGGCTCGGGAGCCGCAGTTTGCCAACCACGGACCTAGACCAAGCTTTCACAACTATTAAGTGATGCCAATGTTTCATCTCTATACTCACCACTCCCCAGCCACCCCACATTAGTTTGAAGCAAATATCATTGTTTTATTTTATCCTTAAATATTTGAAACCATTTAAAAATATGACCGTAATCAGACTTCAAAAGGCAAATAGAATTTATTACAAAGTTACCACTTGCCTTCAAATTCCCCTGATTGTCTCATAATTTAAAAAACTGTTTGAAGTTGGACCCAATTAAGATTCATAAGTTGCAATTGTTTGGTTTCTCATGTTTAATTTAATATATAGCTTTCTCACCTTCCCTGTTTCTTTCTGGTAAATTTCTCTGTGTAAGAAGGAGGAAGTCTTTTTCCCAAAAGAAGAGTGCAGTTTACATTTTGTTGATTAACATTCTCACGGTGTCATTTCACCTGCTCTTCTAGTTCCAGTGTTTTGTGGGAAGTTATGTTTTAAGGAGAGGCTTGAACACACTCAGGTTTGACAATTTGGTGGGAATACATCATAGGTTCAGCTGTAAATGTCCCTCAGAAGCACATAATATTTGGTTGTCTCTCTTTCATTGACATTAATTGATGTTAATGATGGCCTAAATTTTATTAAAGATCAGAAGTGATTGTTACGTCACCAAGGAGGAATGTACAAGGCCAGAGTGGTGAGGGATTAGGAATTTATTGGATCATCCACACACCAGGAGGCTGAGCCTGGATGGCTCCAGCCACCAGTGACAGGAGTCAGAGGCTTTTAAATGACCTTTGGAAGGCTTTTTCTGGACAGAGACTTCTTTATGCATACTAGGAGGTGAGATAATGGAATGTGGTCACCACAAGTGAAATATGGTCTCAGCAAAGGGAATGTCCATAGTGAAATAGCCTGAAAAGCCAGTTCCCAGGGGAGGGGTATTGATTCAATTACTCAATCAAACCTAACAATCATGATATCAAATCCTATCATTCTTCCCTTAGTTATTAGATGGAAAAATCTTCTAAAAAGAAAGTTCCCTCCAACCATTCTCTCATTTTCATGAAGAACAGTGGTATCTGAAAGACAAGATAAATGCTCAATTCTTTCCCTTTATTTGTCAATGTTCAGAACAAGAAGATGCTTTCCTAGCACACTCCCAAGGGAGCGACTGACTATTTTAAGCAGAAGGCCTTGTCATGAACTCATATATTTTAAGATATCTGATATACTTTGATTCATTGGAGTTTTACTGATGCTCACATTGCCTCATCCATGTCCAGTTGCATTCTCTTGAGGTTGGCTCTTAAGTCCTTTCCATGAGATCCCAGTGATTTTTGAGAGCATCCTTGCTTTCTTGTTGGCAAGAGAGTGAAGGCTCAACTGAAGCATGTTCTGCCTATTCCTTGAATCAGTAGTTTATTTATAAAACCATAATTTTTTGGTGGGAAATGGCATTTGAAAACCATACTCTAGGCACTAAGGGGGGTAAGGGTCATTGTCACTGGGCTCATTATTATCTCTACTAGAGGCCTGGTGCACAAAAATTTGTGCACTGGGGGAGAGGGGAGCTCTTCAGCCTGGCCTGTGCCCTCTTTCAGTCTGAGACTCCTCAGGGGATGACCACATGCTAGCTTAGGCCT